GCCCGCACGAATATTCCTTTTTTAAATCGGCGTGCACAGTCGGCATCCTCGAGGAGAGGATCACCCAGCTCATGCGCGAGCAGGTCTCTTACAAGTTTGGGTATGTGGCACCTGCTGACCGTTCTGGATGGTCGCACGAAGTGGGTGACTCTATGGCGAGGCGCGTTGTCGATGAGGTCGAGGTAACGCTTGTAGTTTCGACCGAAGACCGGCATCACATCCGCATCAAGGAATACGTCTGGCTCACCGAGCGCGTCCAGCTTGATGGTGTATAGCGTCCAATCCTCGATGTTGTGGCCATCGAACTCCTCCACCTCATCCATGTGGCCGAAAACGGGCACCGTCTCCATGTTCATTAGGGCGGCCGTGTGGGCCCCGTTTATGTCACATTGCCAGTCTTCCCTTCCGTAGGAACTCCCGGACGCGTCCTCTGCCCCGACGATCGGCCCCCGCCAGCACACCTCAAGGAGGGCGAGCAGAGACTGGCTGTACTGGCTCGATACTCGAAAATCCAATACCCCGCGGTGGAACTTCAGACCCAGGGCATTATGCAGCTCGATCAATCGTGTTGCCTGGTCGGGCTCGAAGTCATCGGGATCGAGCCCACCCATGCTCGCGCTGCACCAGGTTCGGATGACTACACCGTGCGCTGGTAAGGACAGTGAATCCCAGCGACTGTAGTTCGTGAGTTTACCCTTGCAAGAGACCCCAGCGAGGTGTAGGTGGAGCATGAGTTCGTCGAGGGCCGTTCCTGGAGGCGCGTACCACGTCTTGCTTTCTGCTACCTTCCTCCCATGCTTCCGCTTTTCTACTGGCTGTCGGTTGTGGTCCCCCCCTGTTTGGTTGATGGCCATGATATCACTCACAATGTCAGCGACACACGAGAAGGTCTTGGTGCCAAACCCAGTCGTATCTGGTTCCTGTTCTTCCACGGTCATCTCAGAAATTCGACGGAATTTACGGTAAGTTCGTACGCTGTGATCGATTGCCACGTCTAGAGACGATCCAAACCTGTCTCCCCAAGGCCCCTCGAGCACAAGCCGGTACACGTGTCCCTCACGAACCCCAACGTGTAGTGTGGGCGGTTGGAGGTTCGTTTTCCCGTCGGATGGTCCAAGAATGTTGGCACCAGTGCCCCGATGTGACCACACCACCACGCTGGCGTTGGTCATATGGAGCCACTTTTCGAGATGCAGTAATGTCAGGGCGGGTGGTTCTGCATCCCCCGAAACCCATGTGTCGAACTCTACTTCCCCGATGTCTCGCTCCAGTAGAATCGAATACAGGTTGCGGAAGTAGTTCCCACCGTCAAGAGCGTTCTTGTTGTGTACAGGCGCGCCCTTTTTTGGTCGACCACCACGAGATGAGATCATGAACGCACCCGTGGGATCTACATCGCGGAATCCAAACCTTCTCCTCTCCTTCGTTTTTTTAAGCAGGTAGACTTGACTATCGCGCCAAACGTCGGCGACGAGGACAGCGAGACAGGCTCCGGGAAGCTGTTTCTGCCATTTTTTGCCGAATGCGGTGATGGGGGCATATCTCACAACTCTGTGCCCGAAGGTCGCTATGTTAAGCTGTCTGAAAAAGGGGCTCTGTGAGTCGATACCAGATCGGACCTGGAGGCTCACAAGAGAGATCGGGATGCCGGTGTCGACTTCGATCCTCCTGCCAGCTGACGCCCAGCAGAGGATTACTCGCCAGCTCTCGTCGGCCGCTGACACAACCAGCTGTCCAAGGCCACCACCCTCTACCTCCACAAACGCCGTGCGCCAAGCCTCGGCGTCACGCGGGTGGACCATGCCTCCCTGCAGCACCGTCCTCGCCCAAGTTTGAAAATTGTACAGGTTGGGATCTCCTCCGAGGGGGTGCGAGTTGAACCACCTGTATCCCGGCCCCGGCGACGAAGGGAAGGAGATACGAACCCTAAACCCCGTGCCGAAGACGGCCTGGCGCCTATAGGTGATCCCTAAAAGGCCCCATGTACCGCCACCCGTTGCTCCTGCCTACGACGGGAGCGACCTGGTCTACCTGCTCCACGTAGCACCACCGGTAGCTGGTGGCATGTGGTGATGATACAGCTGCCGTGGTTGCCCGTGCCATTCTCTCTTTGAAATGAGCCAACATAATTTTTCTCTTCTTTTACACGAAGCGTCAACCACGGTGGTGGCACCGTTGACTGATGACAATCATATACCTGTCTCTCGATTACTCCGTGTGGTGAAGACGCGATTGTATTGTAGAAAATGTCTCTTCTCCTGTGAGGGCAGGATGCAGTTGTGAGCGTGTGGGTGTTTCCTGGCGACGATTGTTTCCCGTCAAGATTTGTCGCAGCTCTCTTTTTTTTTTTCAAAGACCGTCTGTCCGTCGTGTGGGTGCGACAAAAAAAATCACAAGAAAAGGGGCGAGGATGGTGGGTTCAATACTACCCAGCCTAGAGTGGATCGGAGCAGCCGGTAGGAAATGCGTTCCTCCAGGACACAAGAAAGTGTGGTCGACCGATGACGTCAGCTACGGTTGTGAGGTCGCCTTTTCGGGAAAATTCGAAAAATCCAAATTCCCCGTGATTGATGATTGGTCTGATTGATAACGCCAGACCATTGGTACATCTAGAAGTAGCTACGTACATTTTTTCGATCACCCTTCCGGTAGCCAGTGAAAGCATGAAACATCTTGCAATAATATGCTAATCCCCAGACACAACTGACACACCAAACATTCGTATCCTGGGCCGGCAAACACGCTTCAGGGTTTCAGCGCCCGGCCGCACTCCTCTGCTTCACGTCGTTTCAACTACTATCGTGCTGTCGAGCAAAGTCTCAAAACACGCCCTAACGTTACCAGAAACGCCACCTATCACATGGGAGACAGAGTTGCCCATAGTTAGTGAACCCACCGCCAACGTTTACGTGTGTCACTACCAAAAAGGAGGATTCTATTAATGTCAAGGGTGGCGTTATTTCTTATATACGTCACCGCCCGTATCTCAGCCCACAGAGCTTCAATTGGCACAAAACAAATTGCGTTGTATAGCTATACTATGACCCACACCAATCATACAAGCCTTTCGACGGTCAAATCCGAAAGTGGTTGCGGAGAATTGCTCAAAAGGGGACTCAGCAGTATGATACTGCATTTACCACAAAAAAATCCGACTGTAACTTCGCGCAGAGAGCTCCGATCGACACCAATAGCTTAAGTGATGGCTGTGAACCGTGTAAACACAACGCGAGTTACATAGTTGGTGTCGATGAGAACTCTCTGCGAGGAGGCACGGTCGTTTTATTTATGGCAGATACAGTATATCATACCGCTGAGCCCCCTTTTGAGCATATCTCCGCAACCACTAATCGGATTTGACCGTCGAAAGGCTTGTATGATTGGTGTGGGTCATAGTCTAGCTACACAACGCAATTTATTTTGTGCCAATTAAAGCTCTGTGGGCTGAGATATGGGCGGTGACCTATATAAGAAATAACGCCACCGGTGACGTAAGTTAATAGAATTAGACCAAAAAAGCCCTCGCTGCACACGCACGCATCTTTCTTACGGAACCTAGTCTAACAACAACAACAACGATATTTCATCAACAAAACATCGCGTGTGTGTCCGTGAGGTGGATTATGTCATCCTTACGAACGCTACTGCGGTAGTACTCATGAATGGCTCTAGAGCGAAGGTTAACCTCATACTACATGGGTCCCACGTGTGCCAGGAATTTTGACATGAGCACGATTTTTTGACACGACACCAGTATTTTGACGCGAGACGTCAGAATTTTGACAAGAGAGGTTATTACGCCGCACTTTTTCATGTCAGGATCACAGACACTTTCTTTCAACCACTCACTGCCTCGGCAAGGTTTTGCGTAGGCATGACCCATAGCGAGGGGG